TCTGTGGTGTGGTTTTTCAATGTATTTTTTAAATAGTGTAAGTGGCACTTCTGTCTCACCTGAAACACGCAGATTTTTCTGAATAAGAACATAGTCTGTAGTTCCAATATACCACTGTTACCACAGGCAATTCTCATTTGTCTGATGGCAAAGTATTTTCACCCATGACACATGGAGGTGAAGATTTAAAGTTGGTACAAGTGATCAAGAGTAAACCAGTAATTCTCGAGTCTTTTTTTTTTTTTTTTTTTTTTGTTATTGTATAAGTAGATTTTAATAGCATTTGTGGTACTTTCCAGATTTAGGCTTTTCTGGAACTGCTTGCATTTCTCAGTGCTTGCTTTGCAGCTTCCCTGCAGCGCCAATAAGATGTGTGGGTGTATATTAGTCCTTTTGTTCCAAATTAATTTGCACACCTTGCAGCTCATGAAGAATAATGTAAAGCAACATCATTAAAGAGAGTCTCTGAGAACATGGTGAGATTTGGGATGTCTGTGGTTGGAGTGGCTTTGAGTGTGTTAATTTCCATCCCTGAATAATAAATAAAGGATGTACACTAATTATAGAGCACTAAACCTTACAGAAAATCAGCAAATAAGAACTCTAATGATTTTTCTTATAAAGTAAGGAGGAAAAAATTACCTGCTGTATTTGCATAGAATGAAGACAGCTAGCTGAATGCTGTCAGTTTTGTTGATGCATCTTAATGTGTAATTAAGCAAAACCCATTTATCTGTGGGGTTTTTTTAATCCCAGAATGGTGACAGATGCTTGCTTTCAAAATGCTGGCTTATCTTAAAATGCATGATGCTCAGTATGGGGCAGAAGGTGTGCCAGGGTAAGCCAAGCGAACTTTTTCCTTCTAAGTTGATGTGGTGTTTTCTTCTATGGGTTTCCCTTTATTTTCTGGTTACAGTGAACTCGACAACACATAGCAAGTTAGCTAAAACCACTAAATTTGCTCTGGGGTAAATTATGCAAAGCCACGATGTTTTCCCTGGTTTTTGCTCAAAACTTTTAACAGGTGTGTTGCAGGCTGTGCCAAAGTTTGAAAAAAATTAGGGGATGTTTCAGCTAACTTGATGTGAGCCTGGGCTTCACATAAAACTGCAAACCGGTTGTGCGCTCTCTCAGATTGGGTTTTCTGAGGGGGAGAATTTAGATACTATGCTAGTTAGCACTGACAGAAATACCAGAGGCAAAACAAGTACTCTGAAACTTGCATTTACAAGCATGTATAAAAAATAAGTATCACCTGCAAAAATGGTTCTCAATGATCACTTTTTTGATTATTTTTTTTTTTTTTTAATAAATTTTAGGAGCAAATACCAAGCTTGCTGACATTAAGCAACCTTTGTGTTGATTCTCTGCTTTTATCAAGCACCAAAACCTTATTTTCCTTTTGGAATGAAGACTGCTTGTGTGAAAAGAGTTTTTGCATGCCTAAGTCTGCTCTGGGGAAAAAAAATCCCTTTTTTATTATAGAAAACTCTGTGTATTAAGAATCTTAAAGGACAAAAATCAGAAACGGTTCATCAGTTGATGTAATTAACATCAGTTCAGTGTCACTTCAGACACAATAAAATATGTATAACTGATGATACCTCACTTTTTCCAGTCCAACTTTATGCAAAAGCCTATGAAAATAGATTCTGTGTCTGAGTTCATGCTGTGAATTCAACAATATTTTAATAGCTTTCTTTTGCAGAGGAAAGTATTTCAAATTCTCTGTTAAATTTGCAAATGACTGTACTCGGGTCATCCAAAGTAACTTTCTGACCTCTTGGTCCATGGTCTGGTTCATATATTTTAAGTGTACCCAGTTAGTGTTTCTATTTCAGGGAACACTTTGCATGTTTGTAGGCTTTTTTAGTATTTTCTGCCATAGAGCTTTATAAAAAAGTACCTGTACAAACAAATTCATTCTTTGTATTCACTTTGAGGGTTTGTTTAACTTTTCAGGTCCGTAGAGAGTACAGGAAATTCTTCAGAGCCAATGCTGGAAGAAAAATCTATGAATTTACCCTTCAGAGAATTGTATGTATATATCCGTACAAAGCACACGTACATTTTCCATGTTTTAAATTTTTGTTTTCTAGCAAAAGTGACAGCTGTATTATAGCCTTGATAGTCTTTATAAGGAAATGTCCAAGCTAAGCATATGGAAAACTGACAACTTAAATATTCTGATGTTGTAAAGAAAGGATAGTGATAGTGTTTTGAAGGTGTGGGAATGGTACTAACTGAGCATTTGCCACACTTGTATGATATCTAAATCTGCATTTCTCAATATACCTGGCTTTTTAAATCCATATTCAGGTTTATGAAAGCTGAGAGTTGCAGTTTGGTAACTGTGCTTTTAATCACAGAGCATCTGCTTTTCCTTGCTTATTTCAGTAACTCTGGTATTTGAAGATTGATAAAACATCTTGCTTCGATTTTTATCACAGATGCAAAAATACTTCCTGGAAATGAAGAATAAGATGCCTTCTTTATCACCAATAGATAAAAACTGGCCAGCGAGACCTTACCTTTTCTTGGATTCAACTCACAAGGAACTAAAGAGGATTTTCCATTTGTGGAGGGTAGGATATGTTCTGGTCCAGTCTGTACAGAACTTCATCACATGATTTTCAGTAGTTTTGTGCTGTTCATGAAGAGCCTATTTTTAGGATGTATTTCTTCCTGTTCCAGATGGGATATCTTATTTCTTTGGAAGAAGTGTGTCTTTTGATCATTGTCTTTGGCCTGCAAAGGGTATAACATCCTGCTTG